TAAAATTCTTGTACCCTTAGCAATTCCCTAGGCATGTTGCAAAGGTCGCGGGGGAATATTAATAAAGTTCCTACTAATCTATCTTACTAACTTTTCCTTAACTACACTAAAATACTAGTACCCTAAATTAACTATTACTTGCATATTCTCTACTCTACCTAGGAGGAGGGGAATAAAGAAAGGAGGATTATTTAACCTAGCCTTAATATCTAGGGGACACTTAATAGCCTCTACTATTAATAATTCCTCTATTACAGTATCCTCCTTATACCCCTAACTTAGCCTAAAGTTAGGGGCAGCTAGTTTCCTAAATTAGGGCCGCTTACTAATGCTGCAACTGTCTTAACACCTACTAGTTATAGCAATAGGGTATTAGGGCATACTTGCACAAAATAACCACCCTATCTACACTAGGTATAGACCTTTGCTAGTTTCCGTGTATTAAATAGGTCCTGTAGGATCTAGTTAGGACGTAATATTAGTAGTTTAGTAGGTGCACTTAATAAGGCTGCTACTTCTACTATATTTGTGTTGCTGTCCTAGTCTAAGTTAGACTTCTACTAGGGTTCCTTAGACTTACTAGCCTAAAGAAAACCTAGTTCTAGAGAGGCTATTTTAATATCTACTATAATTATCTTGTATTCCTCTATAGCTACGTTGTAGTTTATCCTAGAGACTCCCTTATTAAGGGAAACTAAGCGCATATAACTATTAAGAGATCGCTAAAGTTATAAAAGCTTCTATTTATTATCCTAGTGTAAACCTCCTAACTATATAAGGAGCTATATAAAATTTATAAAGAATTCTATAAAAGGCTAATTTTAGCCCTAATATAAGTGTTCTAACGCAACTTAAGCGCGCTCCTGCCTGTAATAGTTGCTGTAATAGAACGCTAGGTAGTTAAGAAACCTGCTTACATCCTAACGCTTACGTATACTATCCTTAAAGTATAGTGCTATAGCACGCTAGACTATAGGCGATAACTAGGACTAAATATATATAAACCTTGCCTCCTTATCCCTAATAAAGACTTTATCTACACGCAGTTTAAACTCTATAGTTATTTACTAGGAGGAGAAGTTTACCTTAGTGCTATTATATAGCAAGCTAACTAGGAAAGGTTTATAGCGTAAGGCAGGAGAGGGAGGAGGTAGCACGTTATTAAACCTAGCGGGCTTAGAGGAGGGTTAGGATAGAATCTAATTGCGTATTTCCTTATTCTATTAACGTAGTATAGCTATTATAGTAGAGTCTTAAGCCTGTTATTTTATTAATCTATAGACCTATTATATTAGCCTTTCCACTATATTAGGTTGCACCTAGTTATTCTAAACATCTAGCGCGTCTATCTCTTATTACTATTATAGTATGTTTAGAAGAAGATACTAAAATATTATAGACTAGCCTTAAGAGAGAATACAATAAGCGTTAATAATAGTATTTAGTATCTTAAAGGAGAGGTAAGCCCTCCACGCCTTTTTATAGGTGTCTAGTGTGTTCGCTTAGTAGTGGTGTTGGACTTAGTCTATCTTGTGTTAGACCTAGGCTTAGGCATAAGCCCAAGCCCTTTATACAATCTAGCACTTTGTTAGGTGATATTATATCGTAAGCATAGGACGGGCTTATATTATAGAGCTAAGTTGCTGCTTTAACAATTTTAGGCTAGAGCTTTGTTAGTAGGTTAGCACTAATCCTTATTTTGATTGATTTTGTTATAATCTCCTGCCCTACTCTTTCTGCTCCTCTATTAGGTTCATGGGTATATACAGGTAAGCTCTTAATTTTGATACTATTGTTAGCTACCTAGATCTAAAAGCGAGATTTGCTACGCTAAGGGAGCGTTGCAACATTGTTATCTTGCATAATCTTAACTATACTAAGCTTATATTAGTTAAGTATTAAGCTCTTAAAATTTTTGAACACCCGTATAATCTTATTAAGGTTTTTAGCTTGTAGTAGATAGGTATAAAGCTTTCCTAAGTAGTCGCACTTTAATACCAAGATCTATTGCTTATAAGCCATACCTGTTAGCATGTTAAATAGATCCTATAATACCTAGTAGTATAGACGTGGTGATCTTTCCCTTAGTTGTCTTGATATGACCTGTTAGGTATGTGTAATAGTGTAGTGCTTGCATTTGCTCCTAGGAGTTCCTTTAATCCTAATATTTATTACTAACTTAACTAGAGCTTTAAGCGCCTTAGGTCCTAAATAGCCTAATTGTTAGTGCTAAAGCTCCTTACTGTTGTGTCTTAGGTAAGTCGTCTAGGATTGTTAGGGTTGTTTAGGCACTATACTTTAGATTATTTAATAAGGGGTAAAGGGCTTGTATTCTAGGAAAGTTAAGTTAAACTTGCGTAGTAACTTGGCTAATACAACGCTCTTTTCTAATAATCTAAACTGCAAGGTGGTATCTAGCCTAAGGAACTAAACTCCTGCTTTAAGCAATTAAGCTTCTAATATAATATTCACATAAAAACCTTCTACTAACACTATGTTAGTGAGCACTAAATCTTCTGTTTTTGGACCTCTTAGTCTATTAAGAGTATTAGGGATTACTCTAGTCCCTCTACCTAAGATTAGAAAAGCTTAAGTTCCTGCTTTAACTGTCTTATATTTAACTAATCTAAACAAGCTTTCTTCTAGGTAGCTTATATTATTAACTAGGTGCACTGCACCCCTGTTGTTAAAGATAGTGCTCTTTAATAGAGCGTAAGCTTTAAAGTCTATAGGTAAATAGATCCTGTTTGTTTTCTCCGCTATTAATATAGGGTTAATTAGTGCTACCTAGATACTGCCTGGATAGGTGATCGCGTTTTCTTTTGCCTTACTACTATAATCTTAATTAATAGGATAGGACTTAATTAGAGTTTTTCTTAACTCTTTAAATTTTAGATTCCTATTAATCTTTTTCTTAATCTCTAATTGTTAAGTAGTAGTAAGCTTGTTACCTGTATTAATCTAAGCTTTAATAACGTTTTTGCATTTAGGAGGTTTCTATAGGTAAGATCTACTATATAGATATAAAGACTCCTTCTTAGGTTAGTTAGAAGGTGGAGCTCCTATTGTTGTAAACACTCTAGGACCCTTAGAGCTTAATCTTATGTTGTTCTCTTAGAGTAGTAATAAATAAATCTTAGCAACCTGTGGGAGGTTATAAGTTAGCTCTCCTATTACTAACTTTTTAATAATCCTTTAAAACATAGTTTAACCCTAATCTAGTAAGATCCTAGTAGATAGAGCTTTAAGATAATCCTATACTATAAGCTGTCCTTTAATATTAGGAACGTTATATACCTTAGCTTGCGTATATAGGATTATCTACTCCTTCTACTAGTAATTAGCGTCTTAGCTACTTATTCTTACCTTAGCAAGATAAGCTTTGTACTATAATCTTGCTAGTGTTACAGCGCTTAAGTTAGTTAGCGCTAGGTTATTATAGAGCACTTAGATAAGTGCTTAGAGGGTTACTCTTCCTTAATTAACAAGCTCTATATAGGCTAGGGTAAGGATCCCTTAATCTACTATATTATTAACCTATATAAAAAGGTTTTAGATTACTAATAACTTTAATGCCTAATCTAATAAGTAGGCTTAGTACTAAGCTATTTAGAGTTTGTACTGCTCGCTCGTTATATTAGATAGCGCAATATCTGTTAGCATGTTAGGCTTAATAGGTTTATTTTTAAAGTGGTTTTTAGCATCTAGAGCCTTAGGGTCTACCTCTACCTAGATCCCTTTAGTTAGGGCATGGTATCTAAATTAAATGTACTAGGTAGGCTAGTTAGTTAATCTAGTGAGTAGGATATCCCCCTTTAGGATTTAGTTGCTTATAGTAGAAGAGTAATAAGTAAGCTTTTGCTTAAGAAATAGTATAAAGAGTAAAGCTTTCTATCTTAGTGTCTAAGTTAAATAATACGCTTAAATAGATAGGACGATCTTTAATAAGGTAAAGCGCGAACTAGGCTTATAACTATAGAAATTTAGATTACTAAGGTTAGGAATAATTTAGGAGATAGATTATTAGATTGTATCTACTACAATCGTACTTATATATATAGAGCTTTAGCTACCCTTACTAGAAGGTGAATAATTAGTAAACCTTCCTTACTAGAGCTCCTGCTTTTTGTTGGGCACTTGGCAGTAAGCTGTCAGTCAATCAGATAGTGGGTCATACAGGGGTATTGATCGGGATTGATCGGGATTGATCGGGATCAAGATGCTCCGTGATCCAGTTGATATCCCTCCTGCAACATTAGATTATATCTACTATAATTAGACTTATATATATAGAGCTTTAGCTACCCTTACTAGAAGGTAAATAATTAGTAAACCTTCCTTACTAGAGCTCCTGCTTTTTATTAGGCACTTAGCAGTAAGCTGGCAGTTAATCAGATAGTGGGTCATATAGGGGTATTAATTAGGATTGATTGGATCAAGATGCTCCGTGATCCGGTTGATATCCCTCCTGCAACATCTATTCTTAAGGTGGTTTTTAGCATCTAGAGTATTAGGGTCTACCTCTACCTAGATCCCTTTAGTTAGGGCATAGTATCTAAATTGAATGTGCTAGGTGGGCCAGTTAGTTAATCTAGTAAGTAGGATATCCCCCTTTAGGATTTAGTCGCTTATTTTGGCAAGGGTGGTTTGTCAACTAAGTGTACAGTAGACATCTGGTACGGCAACGAGATAAGATGTTTATGGTACTTGCATAGTATTATGTTTCTGCTGGATAAATCCTTTGACACTTAGCCACTGATGCCGCGTTCTACACCGACAGCTTTGTTGTCCCCAACA